TCAAAATTGAAATTCAAAAATTCCTTGAATCAAATGAGAATGAAAACACAACATACCAAAATCTTTGGGACACAGCAAAAGCAGTGATCAGAGGCCAATTTATAGCAATAAGTGCACACATCAAAAGAGAAGAAAGAGCCAAAGTATGTGAAATGAAGTCTTACTATCTTCATTTCAAAGAAACATTGTAGCTATATTTCTTCCCAGACAGATTTGTTCATTCTGCTGGCAGTCCGTGGTATATTCACTATTCTTCACCAAAATCTTGGAATCTACCAAGGTGAGTACTCTTCAGTGGGACCTGTAGGTGACATCCTGTGTGTTCTTTGAATGACTGAAAATACTGGTGACATTGTTGGGTGTTTTACCTTTTCACCATCTCTCCCAGGTTCTCCTTTGTAGCCTGGAAGTCCTTGAATTCCCTTAATTAAGCACAAAATAAAATTCTGTTAATTACTTTTTAGGTTCATTAGTAATAAGAATTCTAAAATGTATATGAAAGGATCACATACTTGTATCCCCGGGGATCCTGGAACACCTGGTGACCCCAGGACTCCTTGATATCCCTAAAGAAAGATAAACAAGAAATAATAAATAGTTCTTCATATCCACAAAAAGCAGCCCTCCAGTTAAAGTTTAGAGCCTTCTATTTCCAATTTATTATACCTAAGATTTTACTTAGTGATTATTTAAAATATCAAAATAACAAAATGTTTCAAATGTTTCAAAAAGAATGACTATCCTTCAGTCTTTATGAAATCCTTAAAAAAAAATGTAAAGAAAAAAAAAGTCTTAAATATCTCTAGACTCATAAAACTATCTCAAAATGCTAAAATTAAAAAAAAAAAAGATTTTGGGATGGAAATACAGAGCCAATGTTCACAACTCCTAAAGAAGTGCTGTGCATATTAGGAACATTTTCAAGAGAAAAATACCTAAGACTGGAAGATTAAACAAATGTTAGACAATCTTAAACTACCTGAGATTAATGGCTAGCTGACTTAATCTCTGGAATAAAGTAAAGCTTCATAAATGTTATTCTTCAGATTAAGGTCCTAACAAACCTTGGATTATTCATTTTAGAAATCTGCTGATGTTAAACTCAAGAATGAGAAGGTCATCTGGCATGCTCCCACTTCATCTCTCACTGCTTCTTACACAACCCTCAATAAAACAGCACAACTTTTTAGGCAGGCAAAAAATGTATTCTTCACTTAGCATAGAGCAACAAAAATCTCTAAACAGACTTGCAGGCTCTGAACAGTATTTAGGTTTCCCAGGACCAATGACAGTTGACTTGGACTGTCTGGAAACTAAAAACACATTAACCACACTCTAGTCAGATTCCATCATTCTCAGTTCTCACTGTTGGATTCACGTTTCTGCTGTCAACATTATTAACACAGATCTCACCAATGTTTCTAACTACATTTTTATCCTCAATTCCAAAAGCTTCTTTTGTAAGATACTTTCACTTACTCTCAGAATGGCAATGACTACACAATTTCTATCATCTACCATCATTTCACTGATGAACAATGATTGTCATAACCAACTTCATATTCTATACAAATCAACCTGCAATTTTCAAACTCACCAAATCTCTCTAGCCTTCCTCTATGCCCCCTTGAGATCAGGGATGAGGTCTAATTAATTTCTATATTTTAAGCATTGAACACAGTGCTTGACACATTTTTTGTTTATTGAACATTGGAAGAATTCACCTTCAAGTCATTCATACTGGACACAACTGTGCAAAATCTCTTTCCCCAAAGAACCCATATACGCTATGTTCATGCTTGCGCAGCTTCCAATAGCAAATTGAAACTTTTACCAATACCATGCGATTTGTACTCTCAAAATCAGCCAAAAGGGAGGATGGGCAGAAGAAAAGAAATTGAATCTACTTAGGATTTACTGAGCCCTATATCTCTCCTGGGAGCTCTGGTGGTGGGTACCTAAGGCATTTGACTGCTACCAGAAGGCTGGTGGCTCAAACTCACCAGCCACTCCTCAGAAGGGAGATTGGGCAATCTACTTCCATAGAGATACAGTCTCAGAAACCCAAGGAGGGGTCGCTATGAGTCAAATTGACTCAATAGCAGTGAGCTTGTTTTTTTTTTTTTTTTTTTTTTCAATATCTCTCCTACTTTCCTACTGTAGTTACCACTGAATCACATTCCCACAACTACTTTGGAATCAGATAGCCTGTAAGTAAATACCAACTCCATTACTGCTAGCATTCATTCAAAAACCTGTAAATACGAATAACATGAATAAGAAATGAAATGAGTAACATCACAACAGAACCACCTGAAATAAAAAGGATGATATCAGGATACTATGAAGAACTATTCTCCAACAAATTTGAAAATCTGAAAGAAGTGGACAGATTTCTAGAAACACAGCACTTACCTAAACTAACACAGACTGAGGTGGAAAAGTTGAACAGGTCCATCACAAAAGAAGAAATGGAACAGGTAATAAAAAAAAAAATGCCAACAAAAAAAGTCCTGGCCCAGACAGTTTCACTGGAGAATTCTACCAAACATTTAGAGAAGAACTGACACCAGTCCTATTCAGACTTTTCCAAAAACATACTAAAGGTTGGAATCTTCCCTAATTCATTTTTTGAAGCAGCATAACCTTGATACCAAAACCAGGCAAAGACATCACTCAAAAGGAAAACTACAGACCAATATCCCTCATGAAAATGGATGCAAAAATCTTCAACAAAATCCTAGACAATAGACTCCAACAACATATCAAGGAAATCATTCATTATGACCACATAGGGTTCATATCAGGTATGCAAGGATGGTTCAACATTAAAAAAACAATCAACATCATCCACCACATAAATAAAACAAATGAAAAGAAGCATATGATCATATCAATCAATACAGAAAAGGCATTTGATAAAATTCAACACCCATTCCTGACCAAAACTCTCAGCAAAATAGGAATAGAAGGGACATTCTTCAACATAATAAAGGGTATCTGTGCAAAACCAACAGCCAACTTTATACTTAATGGAGAAACTCAAGCCATTCCTCTTGTGAACAGGAACCAGACAAGAATGTCCTCTATCACCACGTCTATTCAACATTATCTTAGCCAGGACAATAAGGCAAGAAAAGGAAATCAAAGGCATCCAAATTGGTAAAGAAGTCAAACTATCCCTATTTGCTGATGATATCATCTTATACCTAGAAAACCCAAGAGACTCAACAAAAAATCTACTGGAACTAATTGAGAGTTTCAGCAAAGTGGCAGGATAGAAGATCAACATCTAAAAATCAGTTGGATTCCTCTACACCAGCAAAGAGATTACCGAAAAAGAAATAAGGAAATCAATATTTA